TTAGCAGATTGGGAGCAGGTGTGGACAGAGGCAAGAAGGGAGCTAGGAGACTGACACAAGAGGTCAAACAGGAAATATCCAAGAACTCAAATACAATCTAAAATACGGTACCTAGATCGCAAGAATCAAAATAACACCAATGAAAACTCAAAATAAAACTTGGACAAAACCAAAACCATTACACAGCCGTACATGTTTGAGCCTTTGCCTCGCAACGCTGCCAGTTCTGTTAGCTCTACGCCTGCCGAAGACACAGACGTCCATCCCCGTGAACACTGGGACAGAACTCAATGGGAAAGGAAATTATTCTTATTTCAACTGTTGCGTATATTAGCTGCAACGTATGAATCAAGATGCTATGACCGAAAACATTTGATTGACAGATGACCATTGATATATGATTGGCCGAATTTAGGTGTTCAGGCTGACGTATAACTAACTGGCCTGCATAAGATAACGGAGAAAAAACACAGATTTGAAGACAGGATTTTTAAAAAAATAGAAATGTTCTAACTTTTGGGACAATATCGTCTTATAAAACGTACATTTATATACATGTTTAAGTAAGAATGATTTGACATTTAAATATGACTTCCTATGACTTTAATAATCAGACAGCAAAAGGTTCCTTAAAGAACCTGGATGACTGAGAACCTTCATCAGCATGTTCCTTAAAGAAGGCTTTTTACAAAATTAAACTTGGTAAAACGAAAACTTTTTTCCTTGAGGAGTTCTGAATAGAGCAGAATGATAAATAAAAAGTTTTTTATCTTAAATGCAAAATATTTACATATTGTTTTACAAATATGGTATTTCTACTATATGTGGGTCACTCTGTCAGCTAAAGGCATGTTTTAGAGCAGGCATCCCCAAACTCGGTCCTCGAGGGCCCCTGTCCTGCAGGTTTTAGAGGTTTCCTTGCTCCAGCACAGCTGATTTTAATTGAAAGCTGATTAACAGGCTTTTGCTCTACTGCAATCATTATAATCAGCTGTTTTAAAGCAGGGAAACCTCTAAAACCTGCAGGACAGCGGCCCTCGAGGACCGAGTTTGGGGATGCCTGTTTTAGAGTCTCTATACTACAGTCAACAATTAATCGATTCCTAAAATAACTGACAATTATTTCAATAATTGATTAATCCAATTAAGTGTTTCAGCCCTAAAACGAAGAAATACAATCTGTTTGAAAGCAGATAATTAGACCTATAAAGAATTAAGTGACCTCAACGTTGCTGACAGTGTTGGGCATGTTACTTTGAAAAAGTAATTAGTTATAGTTACTAGTTACTTCTCCCAAAAAGTAACTGAGCTACTAACTGAGTTACTCTAAAATAAAAGTAACTAGTTACTAGTAAAAGTAACTATTGCGTTTCTCGCCTCCGTAACCCTCACCACCCGGCCCCCACCTTCTCGCTGTGTGCTTCAAAGTCAGCGGACGACAAAGACAAGAACCTGCAGAGAGTTGGGATTTATTGCAACTCAACGTAAATGACATCGGGGGGGGAACGCCATGTGAAGTTTTTTAACAATGCATTCAGATCCATCCATCCATCCATCCATCCATCCATCCATCCATCCATCCATCCATCCATCCATCCATCCATCCATCCATCCAGATTTCTCCCTTTCATTTGATCGTTCACACTCTCCATAGTTCTCCTGTGGCGCGAGCACAGGGCGACTGTTGCACGCCTTTAGCGAGCATGCGCGTTTCCTGTCACCCTGCGCGGTGAATCGTGCCGCCTGCGCTGTGTGGAGATGCAGGGGAAACCATATCTAATGGGGAAACGCAGCTCGATGTAACACCAGTATTTCCATCTGGAAAACGCTGTTTTGCTGCTGGAGTCCTCCTCACTCTCCATCTCTCTGTGTGTGCTGTAC